TCTTAACCATCACTTTCTTACCCACCTGAGTAATGTGAATGATCCCATTGCTGCTGAAGAAAAATTGACCAATTAAATTTAAGGGCAAAAGGATATTCAAATCCATTAAAATGTTCAAAGCCTCCCATCATTAGCTGCTCTTAAATATATGTTGAAGAGTATTTCATCATTTGCTGTTAATGAAAACAAAGACTGAAGTCATCCTTCAAAATGTCAGTTTTGAACAGGGGTAAGTACTAAATCCATTTGTGTTCCAGCCTGCCACAGAAATTTAAAGTACCAGAGAGTTGAAGTATTTCACTATCAAAAGGTTTAATCTTGTAATCTCCTGAAATCTCATGGTTCCTTCTGAAACCTGCCCTAGTTGTAAAAGTAGCTAGCATTATTGCCTTTTATTAGAGTGTGTGACACTCCTCCCACCTGTTTTCCCTGCATGCTTTTGGTGCAACAAAGTCAACTGACAATTTCCACACTAGGGAAATCCATCTAAGGCTGAGTTAATAAAAAAAAAAACAATTTCTGCCAAGAAACATAGTACTAAACAAAATCTGGGGCAGAGAATTGTTTTAAAACTCTGGAAATCACTTTGAGAGCTCCAAGAGGGTATGAAATCAGCATCCTCCACAGCCCCTGCTGAGGGTTTAGGTTTTGGGACTGCTGTATTTTGACATGTTGAGGTCCTCCAAGCAGCAAAGCAGTGTTGCAGTTCTGCTCTGTATGGAGCAGAAGTCATGCTTTGCCCTCAAATGCATCTGTTGTGAGCTGCATCCACAGGGAGAGGGGGATCCCACTGAGGAAGGGAGACAGTTCTGTTCCCTGATCCAAGCAGGCACATTACCTTAGCCTGTGCTGGCAGCAGCCCCAAACAGCCCAAAACAGGGCACTGTCAGAGGCAGTGTTTGCTCCCAAACTGAGCTCCAGCAAGCAGAGACCTGGGGCTTTGCATGGGGACCAAAAGTCACTTATAAACTACTGTGAATACTCCTGAAGTGTGCAGGCAGTGGGAACAGGCTGTGACCCAAGTGGCTCCCTCAGGGCAGGGTCTGAGGGACAGGACCAGACCCCATATTCCCCAGGGCTTACATGAGCTGTGCAGGGAAAAGAAAAAAAAAAATCTTTTTTGTACCATCACAGCTTACTAAAGGACAACATTTAGAGAGGGAATTGAATATTGAGCTCTGCTTGTAAACAGAGAAAGACAAGCATTAGCTGGGAAGAAGGCAGAACTTGTCTCAGAGGAGAAATTTGTACCTTTCCAGCACAACTCCTGCCTATTGGAAGGCAGGAAAAACTCCTCTGAGCAAGACCTCTGTGGCCACCAGCTGCCTGCTGTAAGCTCCAGGAGAACAGCTCCATCATGCAAGAACTGTGGCATGTGTCATGGATCAGGAGTGGGTGAGACCTGGGAGCCTTTGGCAGTGTTTAGATCACCATGCAGTGAATCAACCAGATGTTACCATGTCTCAGTTGTGGCTAGCTCAAATTTTTGCTGCCCAATGCAAAACTGTGGTGCTACCACACCAGATCACTGCTCAGCTGTCCTCCTGCAGCATAGCTGCAAATCCATAGCCTCACTTACTTCTACAGCAGCTTCTCCAGGGATAACTTGAGAGTAAAATACAGTCTCTGCTCCTTCATGCTGAACAACATAAACCCAGGTGCACCTGGAAGCTAAAACAGTGACCTGGAATGGCTAAGAGAGCATAAGGAGAAGAAAAAGCAGCTATTCTCAGCAACAGGCACTGAGAAAACAAAGGCTGTGTCATTAAATCAATTGTCCCTGTAAAAAAAGGGGGTGACCTGCAAGATCCCAGGCCAGCATACATCAAAGTAGCCAGTACAGAAAATTTCCCTGGAGACTGACTGACTCATCAGGAGCTCAGACTTTGCTGTGATCCTTCTTTGAGCCTTTCCTGTGGCAACAGCTCCCTCCAGCTGCTGCCTCTGCAGCACAGCATCACCACAAACTGCAGCAGCTCACATCAAACACCGAGGGAATGGCAGGTATTCCCAGGATTCCTATGGCTCCAAGTGACAGCTGGGTACCCAGGCACTTATCCAATGCCTGTGGTGTCTGCATTCCCCCTCTCCCTGTGTTGGCAGGGCTGTGACAGATGCTGGATGCTTGGGCTGTCTCCTCTCTAAATGCTCTGTACCACCTGTGCAGAAAAACACACACACCATTGAGCAGAAAAAAGCAGAATCGAGGCAAGATAGACACTTGTCCCTCAGACTCACAGAGATTTTGCTCTCTCATACTTTCTGTTAGACCCTGCACTGTAACCCACATTGCCAGGGTAAGCCTAAACTTGCAGACTGAATTATGTTGGAAATCTGAGGTGCTTGAGTCCAGCCTTTGGCCAAACACCACCATATGGATGAGACCATGGCACTGAGTGCCAGTCCTTCCTGAAAAACCTCCAGATACAGTGACTCCATCACCTCCACTCCAATGTCTAACCATTTCTGTGAAGGAAAGTCCTCCCAATGTCCAACCAGAACCTCCCCAGGTGCAGCTTAAGGCTGTGTCCTCCTGTCCTGTTTCCTGGGAGAAGAGACTAAGCCCACTTGGCTACAATCTCCTTTCAAGTAGCTGTAGAGACTGCTAAGGTCACCCCTGAGCCCCATCTTCTCCAGACCAAACACACCCTCAGCTGCTCCTCAAAACCCTCAGCTGTTCCTCAAAACCACTGACGAAGAAGGAATTCCTGCAGCTTCAAAAGTGAACAGAAGAACATGGAACAAATCCCAGTATAAAAGTCACCAAATAATCATGGATAGTAAGCAACATCACTGAGCACAGAGTTTCCCAAGTCATCACCTTCTTCAAAACCAATACCAAGTGACAGAAAACACTAAGATGGTAACACTTCCTGGAAAAAGGCATCCCTGAGCTAAAAAGGAACATCAAAACTCTACCTGCTCATCTGCTGATTCCAGAAGAAAAAATGTGGAAGGTAACACATGGAAAGCAATCGCAGGAAGCAATAGGATCTGGGTGCACAGCACTCTGAAAGCTCCAGAAGTGACACACTGCTCCAGGATGGCTCTGTAAAGTGCTCCAATATATGTCAGGCACTATAGAAATAAAGAAAAAAAGCCATAGGGTGAAACGCCTCTGAAAGGCAGAGCCTCTGAAAAAGCCAAATGGGAAAACACTCCAAAAAACACCAAAAAGATGTGAAGAACCCCTCCAGGGCCATGTGGTGACAGTCTCCAAAAAAATACCAGGAGGAGGAGGAGGAAATTGGAAGAGTCAGTAAGCAATATGCAGCCAAGGACTCCTCTGTCGGAATCTGTGGTATTGATGATTCTGAGATTGTAAAAAGTCTCTGTCTTTCAGCCCCGCTGCCAAAGCAGAAGCCATAATTGGTCTGTGCTGGTTTCAAGGTTGTTTATTCTGTTTATCTCTAACATGTTCTGCTGCCCTGCCGCAGCTCTGTCCTGCAGGGCAGCGTGTGGGGCTCTGCCCTCAGTGGGATGGTACAAACATTAAATACCAGAAACTACCTGTGCTGGATTTACAATAACGTGCCAATATCTGTCACCTACGTTGGACAGTGTGTCCCCAGCCTGAACCAACAGAAAAATGCCAACACCACAGTGAAACATGGAGGGAATGAAGAAGGAGAAAAAGGACAAGACACATCCAATTTCCTCCATCTTGTCCCCTTTGAACCCCTAATCTAGAAACCTAAAATTTTACTTTTGCACCCGTGCCACACTTAATTATTATTCATATCAAACACTCATAGCTTGTAATTCATCCTGTAGGATTGAAAACTCTTTTCCATGGACAGAGATCACAGACAGTGTCTCTGGGGGCTCTGTCCATGGGGGTTCCTGACCCCTGCCAGGGTCCCAGGGCAGCCAGAGGGAAGCCCTGGATTCCCACAGAATCCCACTAATTGACACAGACCGTTGCTCATCCAAGACTGTGCTAAATTCCTGGACTTAGAGAAATAAAACAGTAATACAAAGAAAAATGGGGGAACAGGGTGGGGAGGTGCACATTAGAAGGGTTTCTGTATTAGGCTATTCAGGAAGTCTGTACCTCTCAAGTACCTCAGCCAAGGGGGAAAGAGGAAAATGAAGCAGGGAAATGAGGGTTAAAAGGAGGCTGCATCCTCCAGCAATTTGAGAGACTTCATGGGAAACATCCCATGGCCTTTCCCTTTATTTGAATAATGTTGCAGGAGTCCTCTGTCTCCTTTTAGGACATAAACCCCTGGCATTGTGGATTAATTTCCTAACAATAAAATACAGTAAATACCACATGGTTCAGTACACACTGTAACACACAACACACTTCTCAGCCTTTGAAGAAACCTGCAACTCATGCTAGGTTCTCTGTGGCACGGCACTGTACCTTAGACAGGAATCCCTCCACCCTACTGAGTGAATGCACCTCATAGGAATGCCATTCCTTTTGGCACAGGGGACCTGAAAGAAACCAATCTGACTTTTCTTTATGTCTCAACATATGTTATATACAGGTTGAAAAATTCCTACAGGGGCTGTTAGACATGCTGGGAGCCTCAATACAGACCACGTGATAAGAAGGCAGAAAATGGAGGTGTCAGGAAAATTAGTCCACGATGTCAGAAATGGAAGGATGCCCCTGTGTCCTGGCAGTAATGCTGTCCCTGTCTTCTATTTCTCCCTCTGTCTCTGCTTCTCCCTCTCTGCTCTCTTTTCTATCCCCCTCTAGCTGGCTCCATATCCTTTTTTTATCAAGAAACAGTTCTCAGATATAATATGGCCACACTGGTGCTTTGTTTTTATCAGAGAAATCCCTCCAAGAGAATGCTTCCCCTTTCAGCAGAATCTGTAAGAACCAAGATGACCCTCCAAGAATGGAAGTTTCCAAGTGCCAAGGTTGTGTAATGAGGTTTAGTAAAACCTTTTAACTTGCTTTCCAGGAAGCTCAGGGGAGTGATGAACACACTGAAGGCAAGACCTTCCAACAACATCTTCAGAAATCAAAGACACAGCTATACGCTTTTTCCACTGTACATTACAAGTTTAATTGTGCAAAAATACAGTCATCAAGACTTTGCTGAGGATTGGACACAGTTCCAGTGATGTACACAGAAGAAGAACTGTTGTAATTAAAGCAAATAACACTTGTTGAGCCAGTCACGTGGTTCAATACACTGAGATCCTGTTCTCAAGTGATTTAGACAACCTGTATTTAACTGCTGTACCTCAAGAGAACCAACAAAACAACACATGGAAAAGATGGAAGCAGAATAATGAAGTTTAAAACTGCCCTAACTCAATAATAAAAATGGCTTAGGCTTTCCTATCAGTATTTCTTTCAAGCACAGGAAGATGAAGTTTTAACAACCTTTAAAATTGTATTTCAAAATATGAGATACCAATGGTGTTGAAAAAAAAAAAAAAAAAACCACGAAAGTTTTCAGAGCTCTCTCCTCTGGGTCCATGAAATAAAACAAACACCACACCAGCCCCAAAATAACATATATGGATAAGAAAGGCTTTGCAGAATTCCCTCACCCCCATTATTATCTTCCTGTAGCCTACATCATGAAGAAAAAAAATTTCAAACAATTCCTCTCCTTTGTGCAACCGTGTTTTAACACAACCACACTGGACATTTGTAAGGCCGTTCTCAGCAGCTATTTTTTGATCCTAACAAATCTCCATGTTTCTTGTACAAGTGTGTCAACATCTTAGTCCTCCTTTTCTTCTGAACTTGGTTCCCAGTCCGAGTCTTCATCAGTAGGTTCACACTCCTCCTCCTCCTCATCGTCTATAAAGCTGTCATTGAGGTCATATTCATTGGCTTCACCATCATTGACACTGTCCTTCACAGACCTTTTTCCTGTAGGGACAAAAATGTCATGTATTCATGACTGTAAATGTAGAGCTCAAGATCCCTCCCAGAGCCCACAGAGTAAAAATGTCTCTCCTCAAAAGAAAGAATCAGCTAAACAGTACATCCATATTCTAGTTATGCCTCTAGCTATTGCTAAATGGCTACTCTGACCCTGAATTTTCTGCCTCCCATCCATCCATCCATCCATCCATCCATCCATCCATCCATCCATCCATCCATCCATCCATCCATCCTTTATATCCTTAGTCTCTGGAAGCTAATAGCTTCACATGAGAAGGAAATCTTCTACATCACTCACCTCCTATGTTCTCCACTTGTCTTCATGCTGGATAGTCTGTGTTTCCCTTCTGAAAGTCATTTCCTTCAGAAATGCATTTTGGTAGATGTGTTTCAGCCTTGCTCTCAACATGTCACCCCTCTTTTTTTAAATGTCCAAAATTCCTAACTAGCCATGCCCTGTTAATATTCCAATCATATCTCATTTATCCTTAAGTCACACCTCTGAGTAAAATCATGTTCATTCCTCTGCCTCCCACCCTCCCAGTTTTGCATTCTTACCTCATATAGAAATAACCATGCAGTGATATCAGTCTAGCTAACTTATCTGTTGAGCAGTTGTCACCAATTTTCATATGAAACTATAAATATATATTTTTTTCTTTAGCTACAGACCACAGCCCAACTCCTAACTCTTTAAATTAACCATAAGCAATTCTCAGCAAACTTTTTAAACCTCAGGTCAGAGCTCCAGACACAAACACCACCACCAGCACCTCATGTAGCCAGACTACAGCCTCCTTCAGTCACACTTTTCTGTGAGTGAGAATGCTCCTGTTGCAGAATTACCTGCCTTTTTATGCTTGCTGCCTTATTGCTGAACAGACTTCAGAGGAAATTAATCATGCCATAATTGGGAAGGCATGCTCATTTCAGGATGGTTCCTCCCAATTTGTCTCAAACCAAGACACATAACCAGCAGAATTTCTTAGCAGAATCACAGACTATAGCGATTAATCATGCAGAATTAATTATGTCTTGGAAAGGAAGGGTCAAAAATTAAGATCCTGAATAAAGTAAGAACAAAATCTCCCTTCTCAGACTAAAGTTATGAGAATAATAAACCCAAGAGATGCTTATCAAAGAAAAGCCCTTTGCCACTTTCACAGCACTGTGAGTGGTATTTTACAGCAGAGGCAGGAATGCTGGCAAAATACTGATAACTTTCATATTCTTCTTACAAATGTAAGAAGTGCATGCTATCCTCTCCCTCCCCATATATCAATGCTTTGATTTTAGCACTGAGTGATGCACATCCTCTTATGCCTTTCCACTTCTTTCTGCTGTAATTTAATTCAGCCCTTCAGCCCCCAAAGCTGATGATTAAGCTCCAAATCTGCCTTTTCTCTAGTAGCCAATCTATAAAGATGACCTTGAAACTTTCTTTGGAAGTATCTCCTTGATGTGGGGGAAAAAAGCTTGCTGACTGCTCCTTCCTAAACATTCTATTTTCAAGTGAGTTTATCAACTTGCTAGAAAACCTACACAAAAGTATGTAGGAGAATCCTGCATATTCCATGGCTACAGGGTGTTATTCATCACAGTAGCAACAAGTCATTCAGTAGTGACAATTTAACAACAGCATAACTCTGACTTCTTTTTTCAATTCCTTCCCTACAATTATTCCCCAGTAATTTGCCTCAGATTATTTTTCAGAACATTCTCTACAGGCAATTCTGGCAGTAATTGGACTTAAAAGCTAAACAGGTTAACTTCATGTGGAGGGCTCCCCTCTTCTCTTGGCTGGTGGAATTTAAATGCACTTGTAGGGAATTTAATCCTGCTGTGTCTAATGGTGCAGTTGTGCCAAATATGACAAAATAAAGGTTAATGGAGCCCTTACTGTCTGTCTGATCCTGCAGAGTGTGGTATGATGGCCTCGGGTGTGAACTTGCTGAGCACCACCTTTTATAAGCTTTGTCCTCCACAGAGCTAAGTAAGCCAGTCAACAAGACATTTTTTTTTTTAAATAGTAACTATAAAAAGAACTTAATAAATTAATTCCCTTCTTTCCCATGTGTGCAGAATATAAATTCTTCCCCAGTTCGTTCTGAGTAAGAAAAGTTGAATTTGACAGACTGAATTTCACTTCTGTGTGCAAGTTTTACATGCTACAAGAGCAGCACTTCTTCCTTCAGAGTCACCCCTGCACACACAGGGTGCAGGGGGCACCCAAATATTTGGGTAAGGAAGTTATGAGAGGCACAGCTGCAATTTAAAACCTTCAAGAATAGATCTGGATTTTTAGATATACACACAGCCCAGCCTGCTTCATTCAGGGCCTGCTCTAACTCTGTCAGTAGCTTTGGTTGGTTGGTTTTTTTTTGTTGTTTGCTTGTTTTTGTATTATTGCATTTGTATTTTTAATTTTCCTAGTAAAGAGCTGTTATTCCTATCCTCATATCTTTGCCTGAGAGCCTTTTAATTTCAAAATTATAGTATTTCAGAGGGAGGGGGTTTACATTTTCCATTTCAAGGGAGGATCCTGCCTTCCTTAGAAGACAACTGTCTTTTCAAACCAAGGCAGTATGTTTAAAACTTGAATCTGTGTGCCCCCAACATACATAAACTTCTATTCTTTGATCCTAACAAGCCCTGAAACCTCAATACCTCACTGTAAGAGTAAGCAAGTTCAACAGCACATGCACAGATTATCACCTGGAAGTTATTTAAAGGTCAGAGATGGAAAACACCATTTAGCCATATGTGTCTCTCCTTAAAATATGTTTGTTTTCTTGTCTGCTTCTAGGAAAAGATTATATATATTGTATTATATTATATCATACAGATTATCCAGGAAGACTGGCACAAATGCAACTGAAAGAAAACTTGTAAGAAAACAAGAAGGATTTTACTAAAATAATGGCTACTTTCTGCTCAGCTAAGTATTATCAAGCATCTCCAGCCCCATTAAATGCAAAAAGAGCCACAGCAGACCAACTGTGTCCCAGGCTGATGTGCCCACTTGTAATTATGGAATACTCACCATTGCTTGGAGCTGGCTGTCGTGTTCCTCTTCCAGTTACTAAAGAGAGGGAAGTTGTCAGTCAGGACAGAGGGAACCCTGCCATAATTATTCTTAGAGCTGCTACAACAGGAAACTCACCTATTAAACAAATGCTGAAATGGTTGTGCTGTACTTACAGCTATAAAAGCTACTCTGATGCCCCAAAAATACTGTCTTTGTATTGAATTGTTCCCAAGAGATTACCCAGATAAATTGTTCCTTAAAATTATTACCCCTGCCATCTGCAGACAAATGTCATCAATTCTGACTGGGGGTTTTTAAGCATTAAATTGGAATATTTTAGGGCATTTAAATATTTTACACTACTGTTTCTATAAATGCTATTCTGTCTTAATAATGTCATAGCCCTCAATCTTCAACGTAAAATGTATTATCATGACATTTTCATAAGTATTCTCCTCTAAACTACTGTTTATTGCATTGGGATTTCATGTGGAAAAACTCCAATCCAATAATCAAGAGAAAGCACCCTAAAAAATAAAACCAAGAAGTATCCCTTTCAATTCTTTAAGAGCAGAAAAAATGTAAACAGCACATTCCCCTGTGGGTTTTTACCAAATCAAGTTACTGGAATATAAAAAGACTACAAAGTGTTAGATTAGGAACTCAAATTCAGTTTTACTTATATTTCCTCCAGGCCTCAAGAGAACATATATGCAAAAATTAGCTCTCAACAGTAAGAAAATCACTGGTAAAAACAACCCAACACAAAAATATGGCAGATATGGTTGCAGTGTTTTGTTTAGAGCACCAGAATACCCTAAAATTTTATCTTACCTGAGAATTTCTTATTAAAAAAAAAACTCAGAAAAAAAAATAATCTTATTACAGAGGGAACTATAAATGGAACTTTATTCCCTGCAGGGAGATTAAAGCATTTTATTGAGATGGACTTGATGGACCTTGTGGGTCCCTTCCAATTCAGAATTTTCTGTGATTCTGTAATATTGAACAAACTGGCCCACCTGGAGGTGCACTGTGCTTGTATTCCACCTTGTGCTGGGGGTTCTTCCTGCAAAGAAGAAAACAGTAAAAGCTTGATTCCATCTCCTTGTTCCACATTTTAAAAGTGCAGAATTCCCTGGTATTTTATGGATAATTTTTACTTATTAGTCAAGTAATAGCCAACAGATAAAGACAACAAAATTAACACAAAATCCCTTCAAATTATATCTGTTACTTCATCAGAAGAATAATCCATTTTTCATGGGTGCCTCCTTTCCTCTATCCCCAAAGAATGAAACACAGATTAAGAAATTACTAATTAATGCAACACAGAGGTTGTCTTATCTGGAAGGAGATCCAGTTTGGGGTTTAGATAAAGCATCTACTGTACTCCTGAGAAGTATGTTGGCAATTTATACTTATATAAATCTGTATCACTCAGCCTGAGATGGAAAATTCATCTCATAGGTGTTTTTAAACTAACCACTTTTTCTGCATTAGCTGAGTATCACCAAGGCTTTTTCCTAAGAGCTCATTTTGCTAAATTTCATGGAGACCATAGAAAATGTTTCTGTGCAGAAACAATCTTTAACAGCAGCCACCAGTTCCAATATGCTCCCACAGGAATTCTATTGCCTCAAAATATATTTTTCTGTCCATTGTGGTAATTATGCAGCCTGCTAAATATGTAAAACCTAGATACTGAAAAACACATTGAATACAGCAATATTTTGAAGAAAATCAACAGTGCTTAAAAGAAACAGCAGTCAGACATAAACTGGATTTTATTGCTGTTACCTCACTTATGCTTTGTAACAAATCAAGTACTGATTAAAATAGTTTTTTTACAAAACCACAAAAAATACATTACCAAAATTTAAACTAAAAGTTACAGATCAAGAACAACATGTAACAATAAATTGCTTATATCAAAGAACAATTTACTGAATGCTGAAAAGAGATACAGTGTTGATCTCCAGGTCACTGAATAGGATCTTTGAACAGTCAAGTTTTTATCTCTGACAGCTGACATAATTACCAAAATAGTGATTTTCACTGAGTCAATGTAAAAATATGCACAGACTTGGATGCTTTAAGGGTAAGCAGTAAATTTTGGAAGGCTACAGCCAAAGTAAACATCAAGAATTAGTCATTAATCTAAACAAGAAGAGCCTGTAACTCACCTATAGCAGGTGATTTCTCACCTGTAACAAGCTGTTCCATAGGGACACTCAGGCCGGCTGTCGTTGTCACCCTGAGCCACCACCTCCACCTGGTGATAGTCATCATCACCAGGGTGACTGAACTGCTGGAAGTGAACGGGATTCTTCCTGCAAAAAGACAAATACACACTGAAACCGACCCATTTCAAGGCAAGAGAGGACATATAAAATGTGTTACTGCATCACTGACAGCTCATTTTTATGCAGTTGCATGAAGAGGAGATTTTAATGTTTAACTTGATGCAGAATGTATGACCTACTTTCAGGATAACAGAAGAAATTTTGTCTTGGCACCTGCTGCAACAGAGGTTAAACCAGGAATTTTCCTATTTCCCATCAGCTTTAAGTTTCAGACCTCCAACACATGCACAGAAGGCTTTATTTGAATTACAAATTAGCATGCTGACATGAAGTTGTACCATAAGACCTTAACAACTCCACGTGTAGCTGAGTCACACCAGTGTTAGTGAGGACAGCACAAGACCATCATCCACAATTTCTTGCTCTACAACACTTGAATCCAAGGTGAACAAGTAGGGAACACAAATTTATGCATCACTGAAAGAACATTTCTACCACTTCTAGGCAAGAACTTTGTACACACACCACTCAAGACTAGGCAGTCATAAACATCACTCAAAGAAGAGTTGTCTTCTTTCTAGAACTGTTGAAAAAGAACACAGAAAATCAAGTTCCCACCTTAGCAAAATTCATCTGATAGACCCAAACAGGCTGAAAAAATTACATCAAAATTAACATACTAGTAGCAAAAGCAAATCTACTTTTTCCCTATAATTTCTTGAAGACTTTTTTTCCAAGCATAATACTGAGAAGCAAGAAATGCAAGATTTCAAAATAAATTATTTTCCAAAAGACATCTGCAAAATGCTTTACTGATTACCTCAATCATTCCCAGAGTACAGAATCTTTAGTGTGTTTGTGCAAATGATAGAAGTGAGCTGGCTGCCTCAAGCAGGAGGAATATCAACTTTCAGCTACAGAGTAGTGATTGCTTTAGCTCAGACTTGCTACAGCTGCATTTAGAAGCAGGTATGGAACACACCAAGGACTGTGCAGCCACCCCCACACACAGAAACTTCCTCACTGATCAGAGAAACTCCTCTGAACTCACCAAGTACCTCTTCTGAACTTCAGAGGAGAGCCAATATTCATTTTAGCCTTTCAACTACCACTATAACAAAAGAGCATTTGTTACAGAAAAGGATGACTTAAACACCATGAGCTCTGCTGGCCATTCAGGCCTCCTTTTGGCATTTATACCACATATTTAGTATTAATTCTTTAAATCTCCATTTGCCAGGTATCTTTCACTCAGGAAACTCCACAAGCAAGCTACAGATAAACTCTTCTACAAGCCACTTACCAAAGATCCCTTGGATCTACTTACATAGGTGATAGGCTTCTTGTCCTGGTCTTTTGGTGCTTCTACAAACTGTGGGATAATTGAATAATGTTTCACCAGAAACTATTGCAAGGTTGCCATCTTTTATTCCATAACAAATTCTCATGAAGCATCACTTCTTGTGACAAATCCAGACTGGCTGCCTACTTCTTTCCCCATTAAAAATAAATGGGATGAAATTAAATAATTTAGAGGCCATTTGCCACTTTGTTTTCTTCATGCACAGAACTAACATACTTGCAGTAACAGCAAGAATTCTCAGTCACATGAAATAAAATTTATCTTCTGAAAGGGATACAGCAGCAACTGATGTTCTTTGAAGTAATTTTATTCCTTATTCCTACATCAAGATACATACAGCATCCTAGTTGCCAAGGAAAGGACTAATAGTTGTCAATTAGCAGATTTATTGTATTTCAGGAGATATCTGTTTCCTTTTAAAATGTTGATTCAAGACCTACTTGGACAACACCAAATAGCCATTCTTGAAGGAGAGGGGAAAAAAAGAAATGGGAGCAATGAAAGAGTTGTGATGTACAAGTTCTTGTCACTAGGCTTCAGGAGTCTTTTGGCCAGTAGATGATGCTCCTCAAATTATACATTACCTGTGGAGCACCTCAAACATGTCCTACCTCAGATGCTCAGTAGAAACATCCTATTTTATCTTCGCTTTACCTGGCTAATTTATATCCTATGTGTAGTGCAACAATACCCCACAAAATGCAAGGAAGCAGAGAAGTGCATAGCTAATAAGCACATATTATAACATTATAACAAAAGTTCTGCCATTTGTTTCTCATCAGATCCCTGTTCAACAAAAGGTTTTTTTCCAAATCAAAGCTTATAACAACTTTACAATTTTCTCTTCCATAGCTAATACATTATTTCTGAATAACAAGCTAGACCAATCTAGTTTTAATTTTGCTTTACCTGTAACAGCTACTTCCATACTTGCAAGGTATCCTCTTATGCTGCATCTTTTTGGAGCTTTCTGAAGCATCTGCACTTCTGGCTGAATCAGAAATCTCAGTGCTGCAGTCCAGATTTGCATCAGGCTCAAGAACGCCTTCCTGGGCACCAAGATATTGGGAAGTCCTGCCCCAGTGAGCTTGTTGGCTTGTAGAACCAGCAATGTGCTCTTTGGTTTCTGTTTCCTCAATTCTGTTCTCTTCACTGGAGTTCTGACCTACTCTTTTAGTCCATTTGCTCTGCAGCTGCCGATCATTTTTTTCCAGAGAACTTCCAGGGTTCTTTGTTCCAGTCTTGCCACTTCCTTCTGTATCTCTCATGACAGTCTCAAGAGGAAATCCAGATGTATTCTGTGGAATAAGGTTACATTTTGAAGAACATGAAAATGTACACTCCTCAGAATTAAAAGTTTTGAAGTAAAACTGTGCCTCATCATCTCTGCTTTCAAAATCAGTCACAGAACAGCCCAAGTTAGAAAAAACCTTGAAAGATCATCTGGTCTAGACTTTAAAAACCTTCTGCTCCACCTCCCAAACTCAAGTTCACTGCTAAACACAACTGCTGAATGAAAACCTCAAGTTCAGGAAACACACAGAGAAAAACTTCTCTTCAAAGAAAAACTTCTCTTCAAAGAAAAACTTCTCTTCAAAGAAAAACTCATCTAACAGTTTCCTTCCTCAGCTTCAGTTCCCTCACATGACCTGTCTTCTCATCACCTCAGTTTGTGAACAGTCCAAGAACTAGTTTAAATTAACTTACAATTTAAAGTACTGCTCCTGAAAAATTAATGGGGATTATACAGGTGAAGATGTAGTAGACTGTAGAAGAGTGTAGACTCCTACCCATTAATCAATTCAAATGATTAAGGAATCACTTACTAATTTAATGAGTTTCTTAATAATTTAAGCACCAAGATACATGGAGTATATATGTATTTATCTATACAGAAGATATATGGGAAGTCAGGACACATATCCTGAGGTTAATCCCACACTGATACATCTTAAATGCTTCAGCTCATGACTCTAAATCACAACAGTCTGTCATAGACACCATTAAGCAAATATTTCAGTTTTGACACTAACTGCATTTTAAATTTTGGGGAAAAAAATGTACATTTAAAATAAGAAGTGTGTTCTCTAGAAAAAAAATATGAAATACACAACTGAGGAAAAAACTGTGCTGACAATTGAGACATTACCTGGAAGCATATTACATTCAAGGCTGAACTACTTTGATACATCACAGAACTATTCAAAGGTCTGTGCTTTCTAAAGATTATCTATGTTTCCCCTCCAGTAAATTTATACTTAGTTTACACAGGTGTGTTTTGCAGAGCTTGAAAATCAGCCAGTGATTTCCTGTTTTTGTTCCTTTCCAAGCAAGTCTCATAAAATGTTATCCAAAACCAATTACATTTGAGCAGCAACTTGATTAAGGAAGGGCAAAGTCAGCATTAACATCAGATGATCCTGACAGAAGCATATTTAGTGACTTAAAAGACAACTCCCAAAATACAGCTCAGCAATCAACTGCAATTTAAGAAATAAATCTTCCTCTGCAAAAGAAAGCATAAATTACTGTTATTTGCCACTGCCACTTGTGAGTTCTCTTCCACCACTGCCTGTATGTGCATGAGGACACAGAAGGCTCACACTGATGTTTGGTTACACACCAGGCTGTGATCCAGGGAAACTCAGCACTGGGACAGCCTCTGGTGGCTGCTGCCAACCACAACAATTCAAATATTTCTGCTTTCTTCCCTACAGAACATTCTCTCCATTGCCTCAAACACGACAGCAGGACCATGATTTAGGCTCTGATATCCAAATTACAGTCTTTCAGAGCTCTCTATGGTCACTACTCTTGCTTGCCCCAGTACATCAGTTTCTCTGCAAAGTCCCAAAAGCAATTTCTTGAACTGTACTTGAGATTTAAATGATTTATGAAATTATTAGGTGAAAATAAGTAACACTTCCTACTTACAGATTGCAAAATTTAATAATTCATTATGCAGTCACTCATTTTATAACCTGGCAAAGTTTAGAAAACAGCTCAGCAGCAGTCATTAATGGACCTAGTGGACCACTGTTATACCAAAACTACTACTACTACTTGTTCTCCATGCACAGTTTGTTTCAATTAACCTTAAAGCCAAAATTCTGCCCTGAGCCAAAAAGTTACCTGAGATGAACAAACAGGGATAGAAAGGCAGCTCCTTTTCCCTTGATCTTGCTCTGCACCTTCAAAATCCTCTATATTTTCTTCAGAAGCCCATCTTTTTTTCTGCTGTACATGTACTTCTGAGTTGAATGACTCTGTATGACCTTCTCCCCTTCCTTGGCCTTTTTTCTTTCTGCTACCTTAAAAAAAAAAAAGACAATGGGTACTTTTGGAATGCAACTTTCTAGTGAAATCCTGACACTAGAAATTATTAAAGCAGAGCACTGGGCACACGGCATGAGAAACAGAAGCAGTTGTGAGAAAGACTTTTTAAACAATTCCAAAGTTTGCATGTGTCCCCAGTTCCCTCAAGTCAGCCTTCAGATACATCTCCCCCACACAGATCCTAATCTCAACACCAACACAACCAAAACATTCAGTCTTTGAAATAAACATTATATTCACACATATAACAAAAGTTATAGTACTGGCAGAGAAACAAACAAAGGGACAAGCAAACCCCACTCTCCCAAAAATACAAAACAAAAGAACAAACATATGAAAACTATCACACCAGTACAGCACTCAACACCATGCAATTATTATATAAATATGGCAGGAGGGAAAAGTCTAGATATAGAGGGGGGGATGTAAGAAAAAAATACTGAAACACAGCTTTCCTTTGTCATCTTGTAATTTTTTCCAAACTAGCTTTAGATGAAAAGAATAGGCAGTGTGGTGGAGGACACATGACCAAACCCTTCTGCCTGCAAAACCTGTGAAATTAAGAATCTAAATTTAGAAGAGCAAAACATCAGTGTGGAGAAGGCTAGGAATTAAAGAGACAGAAACTACTTAGAATTTACATACAAAATAGTCAAGTTTATAGGAAAAGGCTCCTGAACATCCAACGCTCAGCTGTACAAACAGAGTTTATTATCTGGCATTAAAAACAAAAAGAACAGAATGAAAATTAACTGATGAAAAAAGAGCTCTACAACACCCATAGGACTGATGACAAAGGAGACAACAGAAGTCAGTCTTTGTCAGCTGCCCCACACAGAGCATGGAAAGAGAAGTAGCAAATTATACTTCCTACCATCATCATTATAATTGTAAAAATTGTATCAAAGCACAGAAATGAATATTGGAACGCAATCATTGTCCCACTGCAAACCTACCTCCTGTCATAACAGGTTTGGAAGCCCTCTGCACCAGAAGATCTCTTTCCAGCATCCAAGATGGAAGCACTCTCTTTCTTTGAATAGATTTTGACTGTTTGCTTTCATTATCGTCAGACAGAGGAACCTGAAAGAACATTTACTGGTTAGTGCCTTTATCCAGTTACAGAAGAGTGGGGGGAAACCAGACCACAGTTTGCACTCAGTTATGCCCTTCAAAAGCAGTTTAGGTAACAACCTCCTTTTTGTATGGGGGGCATTGCTCAAATATTTTACTTTTTTTTTTTTTTGCAGTTTCCATCCACTCAGAAAAACAACATTTATAGGAACCTTTGTGCAGTAAAAAACAAAAGAAAATAAAACAGAATATTCTTAGATATTTGGAATAAATATCTAAAAGGCTACAAACTGAAAGATTCATAGAAGAGCTTTACCACCACCTTGCTCTAGAGTTTCCCTACATAGATAAAACAGAAAGAGCAAGTTTAAGAAAAGCCTATTTGTCCAAGAAAAAAAACAGCAAAAAGCTGCAAACATAAAATCTTTCTTGCATTGCTACAATTTATTTCTCCAGAAAGTAACCAGACTCTAAATCTCCGAGAGTCACACTCATTATTTACTGAAAACAACACTATCCTTTTGAATTTCCTGAGCCAGTCCACCCCAGGGATCTCAACCACAGCAAAGACTGACATTTCATTTGTATAGAGAACATAACACCTCCTTAACTTCCAACACATGCTTACAAATATTAAACTTCATTAAAAACTTAAACACCCACCAAAAATCTGGAGGTAGCATCATTATTCCTCATTTTTGCAGCTCCCTGTACCTCAGAGCTGGCACATGCTGGTTCCATTAACAGTGGAATACAGGACATCTCAACAGCATGAACAGTTGGTGCTTCTGCATCAGCCTCCTGATGTTTTTCTGACAAAACAAAAGACAATTTTATCTACTCACACGCTGCAAATATAAACATGAACTTTTGAGTCAAACACAAAAGTTGGTCTGAATGTTTGCCATTAACAAATGCAGTTTGAGAGTGACCATCAACATCCTCTTAGCATCAGCTTACAGAGGAAATAAATGCACCTTCCTTTTACCTCACACCTAAAGAGTTTTGAACAAAAGACTCTCTAATAACTGCTGACCACGACTGTGGTGGTTTTGGGTTTAAGTACATAATTTACAGTGGTTGCTGCCATGACAAAACTTTGAGAAAGCTGAAACTGCATCTCAGAATTTGCTTTATGGTAAATCTGCACAACTCCCCAAAATCTGATGCTATCCTATAAGTCAGGCAATGATTTTAGGATGCATTTTTCAGGACCAGATGCCCAATGAATCAAGCATTTCCCAGCAAGTTCTCACTACAGGCTATCGAGGTGACACTATATACACCGGTGCTAGTTTCAAAAGCCTCAGTTCAGAGCCACTACATCTGAAAAGCTTTTTAGGTTATGAAAGCACACCCAAACTGCAACTGTTTTTCCTTCAACACATTGCCCTTCTACTACTCAATTCACCAGCATAAAAAAATCAAGGAAAAACGAGTCTAATTGGTGCAGTATTCCCTGCACAGAAGCACTGGGGTCTCTCTGCCAACCTGCTGAAGACCACCCTGGGTCAGGGGTGGCTCCGCGTGGTGAAAAAACTTCTCCTCCAAGCTGTGCTTCCAAAGAAAGGCTCAGAAATCTCTGTTGTTCAGTCTCATGGTTGTTTATTGCAAATTATCTAAAAGATTTTCTCCTTGAGCTGCTGTGGTTTGCTCACAGCTCAGGCAGAGGCACACACACACCCTGACATCCTCTCTGACTCCCGACTGCTTCTTCTCTCCCCGCCCAGGGCTGCTGCTGTCTTTTATATGATACATTACGTGTTACATGGGTACAGTTTGTCCCCAATGCCTATTACCTATATTAAATGGTGCTTTTCTATCTTTTATATGGTACATTACGTGTTACATGGGTACATTTTTTCCCCAATGCCTATTACCTATATTAAATGGTGCTTTTCTATCTTTTATATGGTACATTACGTGTTACATGGGTACAGTTTTTCCCCAATGCCTATTACCTATATTAAATGGTGCTTTTCTACTCTAAACCAATCTGTGAGTGCCAACATCATCAAGAACATGGAGGTAAGGAAGAAGAAAGAGGGAGGACAGGGCAGGCCCAAATCCCTCCATCTTAAAACTTCTGACCCCCATGTACAAAACAGAAACCCCCCTGTACAGCACTCAAAAATTCTTCCCTCTACTTTGTGACTACTTCTACTATAATATCTAAACTTTTGTGACTTCTTGTTCTTCCTGCAAGGTTGATAAATCATTCCATGGCTCAAACCCAAAATCACAGCTGTTTCCAGCTGCCTGCCAGGGTCTCAAATGCTTCTGAGCTGGGCCCGGAACATCCAAAAATGTCTGAGGGACATTTTGAGTTCTGACACCAACCCTTCCAGAACTTGCTGCACTGCAGAGACCACACACTGACCAGCTGAACTCTCTCTTTGTCACCCTGAGAAGAGAAGCACCAAAGGCTGAGCTCTGCCTCACCCCTCCAGCCCTGCAGGGTCTCACAAAACCCCAGGATGGGTGAGGTTCAGCGGGACCACCGGGGGACATCCATCCCCAGCTCCCTGCTCAACAAGGGTCATCCCAGAACACACGGCACGGGATGGCATCCAGATGGTTCTGGAGTATCCCACCGAGAGATATTCCCACTCCTCAGCCTCTCTGGGCAATCTGTTCCACGTGCAGACACTGCACAGGAAAGAATTTCGTCCTTATAGCCAGGTGGAACTTCTGTGCATCAGTATCTGCCCACTGCCTCCTATCCCACTGCTCTGCACCAGTGGGCACAGCTCGGTCCATTCTTTTGGCACTCTTAGATATACTGATGAACGAGGTCCCCTCTCTTTTCGAAGCTCTTTTCGAAGCTGATCAGGCCCAGCTCCCCCAGCCTTTCCTCCCATGAGGGATGCTCCACTCTCCGAAACATCCCCGCTGCGGGAGCCAAGCTCTCCCTGCCCCTTCCACCCGCGGCGGAGCCGCCTCGGAGCTCCAGCGCTGCCCTCGGAACCCCGCGGCTGCGGCACGAACCGCTGCGGGCCCGGCTCCCTCCGCGGGGCCGGACCGGCCTCACCTCCAGGCTGCCGGAGCCGCCGGGACGGGGTCGGAGGTGCTGCCGAGCTCCGCGGGAGCAGCCGGGACGGGGTCGGAGGTGCTGGAGCGCCCCGCAGGAGCTGCCAGGACGGGGTCGGAGGTGCTGCCGAAGGCGGCAGGGACGGGGTCGGAGGTGTTGCCGAGCCCCGCGGGAGCCGCCGGGACGGGGTCGGAGGTGCTGCCGAGCTCCGCGGGAGCAGCCGGGATGGAGACGGAGGTGCTACCGAGCTCCGCCGGGACAGGGCCAGAGGTGCTACCGAGCTCCGCAGGAGCAGCCCGGATGGGGACGGAGGTGCTACCGAGCTCCGCCGGGACAGGGCCAGAGGTGCTACCGAGCTCCGCAGGAGCAGCCCGGATGGGGACGGAGGCGCTGCCGAGCCCCGCAGGAATCGCCGAGACAGGGTCGGAGGTGCTGCCGAGCCCCGCCGGAACAGGCACGGAGCTGCTGCCGAGCTCCGCGGGAGCCGCGGGGATGGGACCGGAGCTGCCGCCGAGCTCCGCGGGAGCCGCCGCCGGCTGATGACGCGCGGTCACCCCGTGACGCGCGGCTTCTCCGGGCCGCCCGGCAGCGCCGCCTCCGCGGAGCCGAAAGTGGGGAGATTCGCCCCGAAAGTGCGGAGATTCGCCCCGAAAGTGCGGAGATTCGCCCCGAAAGCGGCGCTCCGCGGGAGGGTGGCCGGGACATGGCGGCAGGCAGGCAGCCGGCACGGAGCTCCGCCGGCGGCGGCCGCCCGCGCACGGAGAGGCCGCAGTGACGCTCCGCCGCCTCGGGGCCGCGGGGATGGACCGAGACAGCGCCGAGGGAGGGAGAGGAGGAGCGGCTGACTTGGTGTCTGCCCTTCCTCCCGAGATCAGCTGCCGGATTTTCAGCGGGCTGGATGTCGAGAGTCTGTGCCACGCGTCCGTGGCCTGCAAGGGCTGGCACCGCCTCATCGAGGGCAGCGAGCGGCTGTGGCGGCGGCACTGCCTGGCCGTGCGCGCCGTCTGCCAGCGGGAGATCGACGGCGACCGGGGCCACGGCTACTCCTGGAAGGTAAAAACACCTCACCGGCAGTGACACGGGTGGGAATGCCCAGGGCCAATGGAAAAGTGTAAGGAAGTGACATCGAATGTCGCGCCCGGCCCGGGGTGGTGAGGGGGGATGCGGTGTGGCGCGGCTCGGGGCGCGTCCCGCCAGGCGGACAGCTGGGAATAAATAAATACACCGGGAATAAATACACCGGGAATAAATACACTGGGAATAAATACACTGGGAATAAATACACCGGGAATAAAGCAAGGCTGGCCCTTTTCCCACCCGGAATACAACCTTCCCCCCTCGCATCAGTCCTCCTTCCCGGGGCAAAGGCCACATTCCCTCAGGGAGAAAGGACACGACTCCGCTCGGCAGTTTCTGCTCTCTGCTTGTATTTTGTGGGAATAGGTGTGCTGGATAGGAATGACTGCCTGAAAAAGCATCCTGGGTAGTGCTGTCTCAATGCATCTCAAGTGAGACGCATTCGGGAGGAAAAAAAAAAAAATGGGGAATAGAAAAGGAAATGAGCAGGAGTTTTTATAATTTTTTTAGAAAATCGCCCCAGATGCAGACTGCTCTGAGGAGTTTGCATCAGGTGCAGCTCCAGAATGATCTCTCACTGATGAATCCAGCCTGGAAGCTGAGATAGATCAGGAGATGATCAGGTAGCTGGTTCCACACATTACTCTGGGCCAGCTATAGGGTAATCTCACACCTTATTTAAACTGGTGTGTTTGAGGGGTGAAAAGAGAGAAGCAGCAACAAAAGAAACAAAAGCAGCCCCTGGATTCTGACATTTCAATAAATTTTCTGCAGTATGAGGCACAGCCATGAGCAGATAGTGGTTACCCTTTCAGTGTACAGATCTTGCATCCCTTGCACAGCAATTTCCTGAACTCCCTGCGCTGATTGTCAGTTTTATCTGGAGGGGATTTGAAATAGAAGCTACAAACACACCAAGTCTACATTTTCTTGCCCTTAAAGTACCTGGCAGAAGAGAAGAACCCAGCCAGCCTCCAAACTAAAGAAAGGTCACAACCTAAACAGAAAGTGAAAGGTGCCTTTTTTAAGGAGTAAGACGAATTCCTGGTTTGGCTTTTTCATCTTGACCACTAAAGAATTGAGGCAGGAACAGAAAAGTTGGAAGTGGAACATGTTCTTCTTCTCGGCAGCATGGCACCTTCCTGGGGTTAAGGTCTAGATATCCAAAAGAACATTCCAAATCCCTTTTCTAGCACTACTCTTCTGGTATAAACTTGTAATATTGATTGCATTTTAAATTGTTTCCGTTCTGCAATCTGACTCTATGTTTTTCCACCAGATTACACTGTTGAGAAACTACTGGAAAAGCAAAGTGAAGCAAGAATGGCTTAGTGGGAAATACAGCAACATTCCTTCTCAATTCAGTTTGCCAGACAAAAGCATGTATCCAATGGATGTCGACACATGGGGAGAAATCTTGGAAGCAGAACTTGAGAGATGATAAACCAGTGCTGATTCTTGCAACTCAGAAAACTTTTGCCAATGGCAGTCACACTGTATGGCAGTTGTGAAACTGATTTTGAACTGATTATGAATTTATGATGAAAACGTCTCCAAAAAAAAGTTATGGGCGTCTTTTTTTAATTTGCATTTTAGTGTATTAATTTTATGCAAAATTCTAAAGGCTACTAAATCTTCAGTTGTAATTTATATTTATAAATTTAACGTTCTACTGCACTGTCAAAAATATGCTGATTATCGTTTCAGTTTGCACTTTTTGTTTAAGAAGAGATGATTTTTATATTAAAAAAAAAAAAAAACAAAACCCCCTAAGGTAGGTGTGTTTGACCTTTTGATATGAAATGTATCAGCAGCACATGTGTTTTGTCTCTCTTAAGTACCATTATTATCATTTTTTAGGCAACAGATGGGAGAAAAATCCTTGAGAGAAAAAGGGAAAAAAAAAAAGAAAAATCTTAACCTCCAACAAGTCTGGGTGACTTCTGTCTTAACTCAGAGCAAAGAGCATTCCTAAATATAGAGGATGTAGCAAAAAGATCAATGAATTGCAAACACTGCTTCCACTATTGTCAGCTGTTCTGCTCCAAGATTGTTAGTGCAAATTAAAAAAAAAATAAAACCAACAGAAAAAGGCACACCCAAGCACATTGAGGGTACTGCTTCACTCCCTGCTCACAGAATGTTTTACCCTGACTCTTTAAGAGAGTATAAAGTGCAAAAAGTGCATCTAAGTTAATAAAGAAGAAAACATTTCTAGCAGTACATTCTCATCACCTCAAAACTCCCCAGTTTTTTAATCATAACATAGGGAAACTGCACAATAATGGATCTGGTCCCTCACCTTTCTCATCCAGCCTTCTCTGTTACCTCCAGTCTGTAACTCCCTGACATTTATCCCCTATTCCTGCTCCTCTCATGCCCTTATGCTGTAAATTCTCATGTATTTGTCTCAGGATAGAGTTTGTAAATAGAATAATATTCAAGTATGGAGCCTAAAACAGTTACTTCACTGTGCACTTAGCTGTAGCTTTTCCCCATTCTTGAATAAGCATTAAGAATCCTCAATATCTGTTGTGTCTCTGGTCGGATCAGGTGGCTGTGCCTCTTTTAATCTAGGAATTAAACATGCATGCAACAAGGCCTGCATCTTTAAAGCTGGAGTAACAGTGGTGTAAATTCTTGTGAAAAATCTATTAGTGAGGGGAAAAAAAAATATTTAAATACAAATCCACATAAAAACAAAGTTTTCTTCCTCTCCCTACTCTGACTCCTTCCTTTAAGGGTCTCAATTCCCCCCTGGAGATTTCATTACATCAATTCTGATCATCTGTTCTCCTCTCTGCCCCTGCACCATCTACTCAGCCTCCCATCTTTGCTGCAGGATGGATGTGTTCCCTTCCCTTAAAAAACATCCCAGCAGCATCCAGTGCTGCCCTCCTTGCACCTCCTGGTTTGGGCTCATCTCTTGCCCCTTCTGCCCTGCCAACAAAAGCCACTGAAACGCAAGAAATAGGAAGATTGTACCTAAATTAGCACTCATGTGGGTGTCCTTCCCCAGAGAGCGTGCTCAGCAGCTAAAACCACACGTGTAAAGCCCTCACCCTGCAGGGCATGCATTAGCTACCCTCACACCTTGGCTGGTGAAACCCTTTTTCCACTCCAGTGCTTACCTCTTACCCACACGGTTTTTTGCTGAAGTGCAAAGTTCTACTTTTGCAAACCCCCCTGACTTTCCATTCTCATGCCATTTTTGTGCCCCTGACACTTGGAAGGTGTCAGCTACAGAAAGGTGCCCAGGGCTTTCCATTAGCCACCTGTGATGCCTCAGGTTTTAGGTTTTCTGTTTTTCAGATTCTCTGCTGCTTTAGCGTGCACTGCTGAGCTTCATATTAGAGGATAGAAAGCTCTCTTCACAGAGTAGGTAGACAAAACAATTCCTTCTCTATCTGGGAATCAAGGACAAATGATCCAAGTTTCAGGCCCAAGAAACAATTAAACAATGTGGACTGAAGAGAGAAAAACAAGGAGGATGGGACTTCATGGGCTAAAGCTGTAATTAGACAATTAGCTCCAATATGCAAATGGACCAGAACTTATAAAAGTGAGAGACCCCGTGAGCGCTCGTGCATTTTGTGACATTTTGGGTTCATCTTGGGTATAGCCCTGGCTGGGCTCTTGTGCTGTCAAAGCTGGATCCATTGAGACATTTTAATAAACACCTACTTTATTCTTGAGCTCTGACTAGTTTTTGTTTTAGGTCAGCCTTCACAGGGCACCACCTGGCCTTCCTGCCACTCACCATCCTGCCCACCTGGTTTTCCTAGGATACAGAGCACATGAATTTTGGTGTGCAGAGCTGTTTGCAAATGTTTTCTGCCCATACAACTCCACTAGGCAACAAGGCCTTAAACCAGCCAGGCTTCTGTGAGGACAAAAGACTTCCCTCCTGCACAGCTGGATATCAAAAAGACCAGCACTGATGCTCAGCTGGAGGGCCCCCCAGACCAACATTTTATTTCTGCATCTCCAAAACCACCTGTGGTGTTTTTAATAACACCCATTAGTGTTATAGAAGCCTCTTTGCAGCTGCTTGTTGTTGCAGTGCTCCATTTTTGAAGTGACTGGCTGACAGTGTGACTTTATTTCATCATGGTGCAGGATGTGGCTTTGGGCCATCACCATCAGCTGACTAAATGAAAAAGTATGCACGAGATATTTAATCACCACAAACCTTTAATCAGACCGCTCAAATTTCAAGGTTAATTTTGTCAAGTGTTTCTGCCAATAGGCAGGAACGTGCAGATTGTCATGTCTGTGTCCTGGTCATCTTTGGAAGGTACCAAGTGACAAAGTTATCCCAACTGAAGGCAGAACAGTTGAGCTCAGGACTGGGATCAGTTGTTTCAGCCCACCAGAGCTGACAGGAAGACAATAAAAGCATACAGCTGGGAGGACTTAGGTGGTGATGATGTTATTTTTTTTATTTTCCCTCCAAATTAATTTGGGATGAGGTATATTGAGTTCCCAAGAGCATGTTGACACTTGGCAGTTTTTTTTCACCATATTGCTTGTTCAGAAAAGTCCGTCTCTAAAACCATAGAAGAAATCACCTTCTTTAAGCATTTAACACCTTAAGCCAGCAGCAGCTTCTGATCAGCACAAAGCTAAGAATTGAGTGCAGGGGGCCAGGAGGGGCTTTTCCCTTGGGAAATATTAAGAGAAACCCACTTCTGCTATTCTGCTAAACCAAAAACCCCAAGCTACAACTGCGGGTTGAAAGGGAAGGAGGGAGGTGATAGACTGCAAACTCAGAGATCCTGGAGGATCTGTCAAGATGAAACCCAAGAGGATAATTCTATGTACTGGCACAGTTTGCTGTAGTCTCCCCCAGCTCCTCAGAATCACCCTCTCCATTACCTGTGCCTCAGAATCACCCTGCCCAGCAACTATGGATTTACAAACCACAAGGGAATAAAATCCAGCATGCTAGAGCACTCAAATTAACCTCAAATTAAGTACAACATTAGCTGCTTTGGATTCACATTTAAAAATGTTGTTAAACTGCATTTTTAAAAACTTAAAAACCTTAAAGGGCAAAGGAGCTGCTGTTTGCCAGGCCAGGGGTGCTGAGTGCATGGGCTGTTTTGTTGCTGAGATACCAGAGCTAGTCACAAAGCCTTCTCCAGATAGCCACAGGACAGCAGTGGTCGTGAATTAATGTGTCAGTCATAGCAACAAATATTGCTTTTAAACATTTCCATGGTCTCAGAATGCCAAAACTAGAAGATGCTGCCAAGCTGCCTATTGGAAAATTCAGCCTGAAGACTTGAACTGAAGGTATAGGTTGAGCAAGGTGGGAACAGAGAGAAAACTTAAATCAAACAAACCAGCCAACTTAAGCCTTTAATCCTTATATGGGAGAAAAGAAAAGTTGAGAAAGACAAAGTATTTTTTTTGCAGCAGCAGCAAATGAAATATTCATAAATGAAATATTACAATACCCCATAAGAGCTTTACTTTTCCATTGAAGGAATATTTTCAATAGTTTCCTCTACTTTTCCATCATATTGCTAAAGAACAAGAGCACTGAACAAATATATCTGGAATATCCTAACACCGAGGTTTATACAGCCCTTTACCAGCATAGCCAATGACAAAAATGTGCCTGAAGTCACCCAGTGTGGCTGACCAGACTAAATTGGCTTTTCTAATGCACCTTTCTTTTTGAACATCCACTGCTCTGTAGACAATTTATTTCACTAAGTTACACTGCTCTTTAAAGTAATTTTAACATGGGACCTGCTCAAACAGGGACCCCATACCCATAAAGGAGCTGCATATCTATGTACAGCCCACAAGTATGAGGAGAAGAGAGGAAGTTTTTACTGTGACTAAAGAACACATAGCATGTTGTAGCAATTCTGAAATGACACTAGACATTTATGTTTTCTCTTCCAAGATCCACTCTATGATGCCTAAAAGCAGAAACACAAACTGTCTTTTAGGATGTTTAGGTCAAAATAGTTATAAGAAGGAGGATATGGGGGAGGACAGAAGAGATGAAAGGGAAAATTGAAGATATAACTTGGGAAATAAACCGTTTCTTTAAGTAAAAAATATTAAGAGAAACCCAAACCAACAAACCAATCTTATTTTACCAGTTGTATACCAGAATAATTAAATACTTCCTTTTAGCAAAAAACTACATAAGAGTGTTAAAAGCTTGATCTAAATTACTCTTCCTATTATTCAAAAATATCTCACATATGTGCATTGATTTTGTTACTGTATTTTAACCATCATGTACTTGGGAAACACAGCAACTTAAGCAACTTAAACTTTCAAAAGCAGGATACATACATACACACATAGCAGAAGCAATGGGGGACAAAAGAGGTGTGTTTTTGATTTTCTTTAGATATACTTTGGTGATTAAGAAAGGATTTTCAGACTCTTCTTTATGATATTGAAGCAGGTACATGAAAAGACTGATCATACACTGATTTACGTAATTGATACTCTTTTAGTCTGAATTAGGTTGTTCTAGTATATTTGATAGAGAGAGAGGCTGCTGACAATTCTCTGAGAGTTCTCAATGTCCTTTTTATATCAGAGTTTGAGGATGTAGGAAGGTTAGGGTGTCTAGTTGTTTGGTATTTTTTAATTAAACTAGTCAATCCCCTGGTCTCTTTCCTCTCCCTTGATCGCTCCAGTTTATTAATATTCAAAGTTGTGGTGAAAAACATACTGAAGGCAAATTTTAAACAAAACTAACATCATCCCTCTCCCTTTCAAGTGCTGGAAACAAAATTCTATCAGTTTTATCAGCATTTCCCTTTGATTATTTTCCTCCCTTCTGCCCAGTCATCTTTTAATGAGTTGAAGAAAAGGAGAGAAAGACATTGTCATCTTAAAACAAAGGCAGAGTCCATGCAGGAAAGCAAAGAGCTTTACTGAAGCCCATAACATTTAACATGGAAGGCCAATGAAGCATGAAAAACATCATTTTATTCAACTTGCATAGAGTCTTAGTCTCCCTTTTACTGCACTGGAAGTAAAAAAAGCTAAGCAATCTACAAGAACCAGAAACAAAGTAAGGAAAACCACAGTTTTTCTTCCAAATGCAAAGCAGGAAGTGCTATGTTCTAATCAAAACCCCCCTCCCAAGCTTATTTTGAAGCCAAATAAAGAAGTTCTATTTCAAGAAGTGTGATGAGCAACAACAAAAGAAGAACTTTGTTTTCGGTCAGAGTTCGCCTTGAGTGCAGAAAAATCTCTATACATCGACGAGAAGATCCCAGCTCACAAACAAAAATTACCTACACTTTTCAAAACACAAACTGAAGGCACCCACAGAAATACCAACAACCTGCAGAGGACTCTTACTACTCATTTTCCCTTTTCAAGTTCCTCCTATAGTCTCCTACAGTTTTAAAAGGTACGAGCTGAAAAAGAACAACCAGAAAACCCAACCCGTTCCCACCAAAAACTCCCACTCTAGTTAAATGTTTCTGGCCCCCACCAAAAAGATTATTTAAGGAAATTTTTTCTGGATTTCAGTGTTGCCCAAGCTTGAACTCAGAACAAATGGAAGAGCACTTCAAACAGTGAAAAGCACTAATCAAGAGCCCTGTGAAGCAAGTAGTTTGAACTTAAAATAACCTCTCAAATATTTGAGAACAAATTGGGGGAGAAAAATGGGTGTTTTACATTTGTAGTAAAGTGAACTCTAAGCCAAAGACAGAAGAGGTGCTACTGCAT